CTATAACGAAACAATTCCCGCTCCGTGGTCCTAAAAGAAACTGTAACAACCTCTATAGTAAAAATGACAAGATTTTTATTTCCTTGGAACTCAGAACGGTATTCAATATCTGGAAATATGGTGTTTGAACTTGTTGCTAAGATGAAATGCACATGAATTTTCTTTCTTCGAGTCATCCGTGAAGGTATATGTGTATCTCTACCCAATCCATCGAAAACGTTTAAACGGTTCAAATCTTGACGTTACTGATCATGATTTTTCGATTCTACCTCACTGCGTATTTTGGCGTTCGGGCATACAACTCCGTCTCTGTACCCTTATTCAAATCGAGTTCCTTTCAAACGAATAATACCGACTGAGCTTTTACAGGAATCTATTTCAGAAAGGAAATTCGCGGAGTCGATGAAAGAAAAATATTATTTTCTGACTGTTAAGAAAAATGCTCCGATAATCCACTTTATCCTGACACTTGTTTGTCTTTGTCCTCCCTATTTTCTTTCCACTGCTGAATGGCAGATGATAAAGATGATTGATTTTCTAATAAGAAATTTGATACATGCAAAATGGGCGTAAGTGTCATGCTTATATTTGAATGTTTTTTTTGGCATAAGGGCATAATGATGTCTATACAGCCATACCTTGAGGTTCATCTATTTAAAAGGTAAATTTCATTACTACTATCGATGCATTGCATTGAGTTTGTAGATAAGGTGATAATGAATATGTCAATGTAAATCTCTAAGCTTATTGCTCGCAAAATAAAACCGCGGATGTAGAGTTGCACTGCCAGTACACAGGATGCGTTTATAGGGATGACAAGGAAGATTCCAATCTAGTAATACTAAAAAGTACTTGTTTTCACCTGGCGGTCAATGAGCAAATGCTGTTCGTCCATGGCAATGAGGGCTGCATGAATACAGTCTTCAAAATAAGTACATATTTGGTCACAGTATTATAAATAAGAAGTAGCATTAGGTAAAATACAAAGACAAAAAACTTAAAAGTCACAAACCAAACACTTACTTAGTCGTATTCGTTTAAAATAAATAAAATCAAAGAGACTTGACCTTATGGGTGGAAGGAACCCTGTTGTACAAATTAGACGCTACATATGAAAATGAGTTTTTAAAAGCAGTTGTTTTGTGTTTGGGAACATCCAAAGCGTGGCTCACAAGTCTCAAACTAATACGAGTATCATGGATGATATACTAAGTGACATATAAATCCGAACACCCAGTTTAAATGGTTTTATTTTAATAAAAGTTGGTGAATGTATTTATCTTACTGTAAATAACAAGTGAAAAAATGTTCAGCCTTATCAGTTGGACATTCCGGTTTTTATACTGCTTTTTTTAATTCACTAACGCTCTAAAAATGAATATATCAGCCGCAGTAAAGAATCAACGTTGGCGGATTTTGGTTCTTGACATCCTTTACGATCGGTTACGATGCCTAGAGTACGGAGACCTGTACGATTTCGTCAACTTAGTGAGTTTGATAGGGGCCGTATAGTGGGACTTCGGGAAGCTGCACTTTCTTTTCGGGCAATTGCAGTTAGAGTGCAAAGAAGTGTACGCAAAGAGCAAGGGGCACTGGACGCCGCCGTAGAACAACAGACCGTGAAGATCGCCGCCTAAGATTATTGGCCTTAAGGGACCGTTTCTCCACTACCAGGTCCATTGCAAATGAATGGTTTGCAGAACACGGAAGACCTATTGGCATGCGAAGTGTTTACCGACGAATGAGAAGTTTTGGCTTGTTTTCATACCGGCCACACTAGGTCCTCCCTTTAACTCGAGAACACCGACGTAATCGCCTTGAGTGGTGCAGACAACGGTCACTCTGGGATCAGGAATGGAACAGTATTGTCTTTAGTGACGAGTCTCGATTTTGTTTAGGCATGCACGATGGTCGTGCCAGGATTAGAAGGCGACGTGGTGAAAGGAGGAATCCACAGTTCTTTGTTGAAAGACATGTTCATCACACTGTTGGAGTTATGGTTTGGGGTGCTATAGCTTATGGTTCCAGGTCACCTTTAATCTTCATCAGAGGTAACATGAACGCGCAGCGTTATATCCACGAAGTTCTAGAACCCCATCTTTTACCCTATCTTGACACCCTGGCAGATCCTACTTTCCAACAAGATAATGCCCGACCACATGTTGCAAGAGTCACAATAGACTTCTTTCAACATAATGATGTCACATTGTTTTCATGGCCACCAAGATCTCCCGACTTATCCCCAAATGAGCACGTGTGGGATATGATGGGTAGGAGATTGCTCAATTTGCAACGTCCTCCTCAGACTCTAGAAGCACTTCGAGCGGAGTTGGTGGTTGCCTGGAATGAGATACCACAGGAGGACATTGACCACCTAATCAGAAGCATGCCTAGGCGCGTTGGAGAATGCGTAGCACATCAGGGTGCATCCACATATTATTAAAGGTCAAAGGGCTTTAAAGCAGTGCAATCATTTTGAAATGTTTATCATTTATTTATTATACTTCATTAAGTACTTATACTTGTACAAAATTTTATTAAAATAAAACCATTTAAACTGGGTGTTCGGATTTATATGTCACTTAGTATAGTTCTCAAAAATAGCTATTCATGTAAGTAAACTGGTCGTTTTCTGAGTCTGTCTCATCGTAAGCCAACGAATACCTTTAATATAAGAAGATATTCTTTCAAATCTTCTTAGACCGTGAATAAACCTAATGCAAAGTTGGGACTTTTGTATCCATTGGGCTTCCATTTGAATCAAACAAGGGCCATACGCAGAGTCACCATACTCAACCTTGATCAGTATAAGGATGTTAGTTAGTTTAATCTTGGTATACTTTGACAACACATTTCTGAAATTATAAAGCTTTCCAATTAAGCAAATGACCATCGAACTCTTAGTTACATGTTCATGAATTGTAAGGCGCTCGTCTAAGTAAACTTCAAGATGGAGAACGCGTTTTTCATGAACGAATATTTCTCCGTACTTAGTTAAAATTTCACTGAGTCATCGCAAAAGTTACTATACTTTGACGAGGATGTTAAAATTGCCGATATTTTCGGATTTACCTACAGGCCATGGTTATGAGACCATATAGCAATGTTGTTGAGATCATGCGGAGGTTGTAAATTTGCAACAGTGACCTGGTAAGGCTTATGGGAAACATACAGTTGCGTATTAACTTCATAAGAATGTATGTGACCCATGATTCACTACGGTAGCCAAGTCTAACAAATATAAAGACAACGAAATGTGTCCAAGGATGGAACCTTCGGTCATTTGCATCAGAATTTCCCACCTTCACTGTTTCGTATCTATTTGAAAGAAAGCTCGTAAACCATAAAACAAGAGACTCTGAAAAAACTTAGAATGTATGCAGCTGAGCAATAGGCCATGATGTATACAATCAAATGCCTTACTAAAGTCAAGCATATTAGCTGTTGTGATATTACCGTTATCTATTGCTTAGATAATCATGACAAACATCGGCTAATATGGAAACAGTGCTATGATGAAATCTGAGCCCAGACTGAGTACATGATATACTAACTGATAGTTTTTGCTCTCTACTGACAGTACTATATTGTAAGATCAGGGATCTACCATGAAATTTAATTCAAAATAACTTTGATCCAAACTAGAGTTTTTCTAAAATCATATCTAAAGGAGCACGTCTGAATTATTAATTTATTGAATGTACATATTTGCTGGAGAGTGAGCTACAAACAATAAGTATGAAGATTTTTCTATTAGAACCGGACAGCTCGTTTGATTACCGAGTATTTCCAAACGAATCATAGATCCGTGAAAGACTCTGAACGATGGACCTTTCCAAGTTGGAATTGGAACAATCTTGTCTCGTTCCGTTAAGGTGGCTACAGACACAACTGCATGCTTGTGCAGCATGCTTGTTCAATCTTTTGTACAAGTACGCTTGAATGTTTGTAGGGAAATGTGGTGCAAGCTTCGTAATTGTACAAGCAGCTTGAGGATTGAATTGATTTTAATTATGCATGCTTGAATTAGGCGCCCAAAATTGTCAAGTTTGCACAAGTTGGCGTCTCTCGTGTTGTGTTGAAAATATCGTGACTGGTCGTACGTAGTAGCATTTGAGTAATTTTCGTCATGACTAGTGATCTCAAAAAGGTTAACCGTGAATTATTGGATGATTTTATTCGAGAATATCAAAATCAGCCATGTCTTTGGCACGTTAAATCCAAAGATTATCATAACGAAGCAAAGAGGGATGCAGCGTACAGAAGATTATTACAAAAATATAGGTTAATTGATGTTAATGCCGACAAGGATGCAGTTGTTAAAAAGATAAACTCCTTCCGGACTAATTATAGAAGAGAAAAGAAAAAGTTGAAGATGCAGAATACTCTGGAATGGGTGCAGATGAACGTTATGAGCCCACACTCTGGTACTACCACCTGTTTCACTTTTTAGGAGATCAAGAAACACCTACAAAATCACTATCTAACTTGAACGAGACAGAGGTAAGTTTTATTGTTTTTCATATTTATACATAAGTAGTTTATTTATTTGCATAAAAAGTCCACACACACTTAATGTACCATATTATTTTATTAATGTATAAAGTTGTGTTGCCAAGGTACTGCTCCATCATTGGAAAAGTAATTCCTGAATTCTTCTCTAACCTGTTTAGCATTAAATGGCGTATTTCCTCTCATATGGGACCTTTGTAATGATGACATGTTAGAACTTTCAGAGGTCAAGCCAGCGCGAATCATACCACTTTCTATGTCCTCTAAGTGAAAAGAGTCCGGTAGAGCATACATTTCTTTTACTGTCGACATTAAATAATTGTGTAAAGCACATGTTGCTTTCAATATTTCCTCAATGTGATATAACTCTAAATTGATAGAGGTTTGAAAAATTCTAAAGCGTGCTGCCATAATCCCAAAGACGTTCTCCACGATTCTCCGTGCTCTCGATAATCGGTAATTTTTTTTTTCAATACAAGTTAAATCACTCTGTCTGTATGGTTTCAGCATGTCAGGCCTCAAAGGAAAAGCATCATCTGCGACAAAAACAAACGGTAGCTTGCGTGACTCATTTGCAACTTCTTTTTCTCCGGGAATGTTTAATAATTTGGCCTGAAGTCTTCTAAAAAATTCTGTATTCTGAAGGACACCCCCATCTGATACTCTGCCATTTGTACCGAAATCAAATGAAATAAATTTATAATTTGCATCTGCTATGGCAAGTAGAACTAAACTGTGTCTATGTTTGTAATTGAAAAAAAAAGATCCACTGTTGGCTGGAGGAATTATATCGATATGTTTTCCATCTAGGCTGCCAAGACAATGAGGGAAATTCCATCTCTTTTCGAAATCCTTTGCTATAGCAATCCAGTCGTTTTCAGTTTGTGGAACCTGGAAATAAATTAATATAACAATACAGAGATATTTTGTACAAAATAATTACAACTACATTATATCTAATAGTAGATTTTATATGTATTTATATTTGCTAAATATTATTTTCAAGAAGAAGTTGAGGCCCAACCAACTGAAAATTCTATAGAAAGTTTAGATCAACCCATTGAGGAGGATGAGTCAACAACACACGATGATACTGGCTGTCAAACAACTGAGGCCACACAATCCACCCCAAAAAAAAGCACCATTTCCCGACCACCTATACGCAAAATTGACAAATGTGATTCTGTGTTGGACGCAATTGAAGGCCACCTTAAAAAACCTAAGTTAAAAGAAGATGGACATGACATTTTTGGGAAAAACGTCGCTCTGAAAATAAGAGACATAACAAACAATATTCAGAGATTGTTGGCAGAAAAAATGATTAACGATACATTAATCATGGCAGAAATCGGTCAGTTGCCTCCGTCCTATCGTATATGTGGTGAAACTAACAATACATATTCTACAGATTGTCCTTCACCTCAACAATTAAATACCAATTACTCCCATTTCCCCTCAACTTTTCCTCAATCTCAGGTACATTATGAAACTCTTTCTCCAGTAACCCCCAATGATAATTCCAATCATTCCTATCGCGTCCTATATTTCAAATTTTAGCGATGCTTAATGTTATTTTGTAATAGTTTATTATACACAAGTACCTACTTTTTGTAAATCTTTTCGTCAAAAAAAATAATAAATAACTGAGTTTAAATAGTCCTATTACTCACCTTCAAATACCTGCTTCTTAACACCTTGTAAATGACATGGCAGGTTTCAGGAACTATATAACTTAATGCTTGTGGTGAAATAATAGTTGAATACTTCAGGTCTTCATAACTCCTCCCGGTTGCAAGAAATCGCCGTTAATCTTTCATGTGGTGTTATGGCTTCTCTCATGATCGTATCCTGCTTTTGAATCAAAGGTGATACAAGAGACAAAAGGTTCAAATAGGTCTCTTCGTCCATTCTAAGATAATTGTGCCAGTCACGCGGATATATTTTCAGCTCACTTAGTAAGTTAATGTGAGAATAGGTTTTCTTTTCCATCAACCATTCTTTACACCACACCGCACGCTTTTTCATTTGGATTTTTTTTTTCTTTACAAGAACAAAGGCGATCAAAGCGAGCGCAACGTCGTCCGAGCTCGACATATTTCATTAAACTACCTCTCCTTTTATCAAGCATACTTGTACGTGTGGTGCCGAAGGCGATTTGAGCATACTTGTACAAAAAGCTTGAATGAGCATGCTGGACAAGCTTGCAGTTGTGTCTGTAGCCACCTTTATCAATCATTTCCTAAAAAATCAGCGATCTGAAAATAACAGAGGTTCCAATTCTAATGTCGATTTATTCCAAGTAAATCAATTGACTTGAAGGCACCAAGCATGGACCTTTTTCGATTGGAATCGGTATCATCTCATCCCATTTCACTATCTTCTCACGTATCTGAACCACGATAGCAATGCGGAGCAGCGGCTAGTAGCCGTGGCCACGACGTTTTGGTATTGTGTTGCATCTCTTCGTAAATAATTGCGAATAATTTTAATGAAGTTGTAAGGCGGCGGTGTTCGGTGTTCTCCTCCATGGCATGGCGCAGCAGTCGATGCTACTGCTGCGAGCGTGATATCTCGCCATGATAAGGGTCCATGGATCGCTGACACAGGGACGGGTTTATTTTCTAATGCATCCAGGTCGACGCAGGGTTCAAATAATTGTTACTATCCTTGCAAAGTCATTATACCGTATTATCACAAGATTATACAGGGTGTCCGCAAAGTTGGGGTTTTCCCTTACACGACGTGTAGATCTTGAAAACAAGCAATTTTTCTTAGTACCATATACACCAATGTCTTAAGGGAACGGAGATAAAGGGCTCTGCAACATCAAAAATATCTGAATACCGTCCTGTAGCCGCGACTCGCGGCATCCCCGAGTGGTACTAGGACACTAGCTCAACTCGACGACAGAACTGGGTCGGGGTCAGTGTGTCAGGTCAGTATGCAACCTTCAACCGACGGTTACGGTCACGCGTGTAGAGGTAAACGAACCCGTATAATCGATTGCGTTTCAAAAAACAACAAGCACTAGAGACGTGGCTAGAGAACTGCAAGTATCAAAAACTACAGTGTGGCAAACGCTGCGTGAAGAGGGTCTGTATCCGTTTCACGTCCAGGATGTACAAGCCCTTCAACCTGACGATTTTCTAGCAAGAGTGCGGTTTTGTGAGTGGTTGTTACATCAACATGACAATAATCCGGACTTTTTGAAGTACATATTGGTGACAGACGAATCTACGTTCACGCGTAATGGGGTGAATAACTTTCGCAACACTCATGTTTGGTCAGTAGAAAATCCGCACGCTGTCCGTGGGGCACATTTTCAACAAACATTTTCGGTGAATGTTTGGGCTGGCATGGTGAACGGTATGCTCATTGGACCATTTATTCTCCCAAATCGATTGGACGGGATGCAATACCTAGACTTTTTACGCAACATTTTGCCTTCCTTGTTAGAAGATGTGCCATTAAGTGTAAGACAATCAATGTGGTTTCTGCACGATGGTCATATTTATTACCTCTGTTCGTGGTCTGCACCACCGCCGGCGTCTGCTCGGTAGCGCATCAGCTGATTTCATTTTCTGTTGGAGCGGTATGATTTCGGGCAGAGACGTACTTAGCCCTTCTCGTCAATTGGAGAGTGAGTACTTTTTCCTTTATTTTTTTTACTTGGTCGCCCTCGTTTCACTACACATTACCTTTGTTATTTCAAGGGTAGTTGTTTCTGAAAAGGAAAACTCCAACTTTGCGGACACCCTGTATGAGATCAAAGGCAAATTATACCTAGAGAAGGAAGACAAAGAAAATAAAAATAGAGATACACTGGTAAAGCCAGTAAAATTGTGTTTATCCCCATGCTGTTGTTATTTGGCGAGAGATGTAGAGATTATTATTATATCTCAGTCATTATTTGAATGCATATGTCTCACCATTTGGTAATGTTGGCTGACTACATGCTTTCGGTGAAATTAGCCCAGGAAGTGAATTTCAGAAATACTGTGGCAATTTTTTGGTTGAGGCCGAAGCGGACATTTGGTTCTTAACAGAACTTTGGGCCGAATCCGAAGCATAATGTTCAGCTGAAAAAAAATGTAGGATGCGATATGAAAATAACATGGGAGAATAATTAATTTTTGTGCTCTTGGTTCTGTTTTTTGTAAGCTGCAACCTCAGTTTTATTGTGTTGTATTAGGATTGAGAGAAACTTATATTAATAATTTTTATTATTATTTTTATTTATTTATTTATAAACCGCTCACAAAAAGGAAGTAGAAAAAGTTTTGTACATTCTCTATATACAAATTATACATACCGATATACTAATAACGAAGATAAGTAACATGCATAGCTTTATTATAAATAGAATGATTGCAAATATTCATCGTATAGCTACATACTGTACAAACACAGTGTGTGTACATACGGCAGCTCCATGGACAGGATGAGTTGTTAAACATATGTATTTTTTCAAAATTATCTCTATCTGGAAGGGATACTATTATTTCCAATAAAATGCTCAGTAATTGCTGCCATACCAATCTGGATATCGAATTAAGTTTGATCCATGCTTCGAACAGGGCACAAAGCCTTCTCTTTGATTGGATGAATTTGCAGCTATACCGCAAATTTCTTTTCGTTGGTCATATTTGCATCTAGATCTCAAATTTTGTGTCCAGGACCTAATGAATACGTCTAAGGTAAGGATTCTATGTATGGGGATTTCAATACCTGTGGGAGATACAGCTTAGGTTAAATTAAGTAAAAGCTGTGTTCTTTGGAGCGTTTCATGGCTTACTGAATCTACCATTTCTCGTAGGATATTTGTAAATTACCCGTAGTCTCGCTGCCTCAATATTACTGGTTTCACTTTGCCTGATACTATTGGTTTTAAATATCTCAGAGTCTTGTTCGTAAGCATCAAGCATTCTAGGATCACGTTTAGAAGCCAAAAAAATGGCATATTTAGTTGACAAATTTCCTTCGATAGAGGCTCTTACTTTATTGAGAGACTTTTGCTAATATTGATACCGACCTGAAGTTTTTCACGATCTATTTGTTCAGTAAGATGTTTCTTTAGCAGAACCGATTCATCCTTTTTCGTAGGCTTAACACGCTCCTTGGGGATGCCCGATTTTACAGCAGAATTATAGGGAGCTACATTGATGTTTTCACTGCGAATATCGGCACGGGTATCATGTAAAAAACCTACAAAACGTCAAGTCAAAAAAAAACTATAAGATTTCAACTTGCAGACCAGGTATTTTTTAGGGCGCAAACAGTCATTCCGCGTTTGCTCACTAGGATCGTTGTGAACGTCCATCTATGGAGGAATCACTCGACTAAACTACGCATTATTGGTTGCATAGTTTTGTGAGGCTGAGTGATCCGTGTCTGTAGTTTTTATCTCTGACAAGAAAGTCAAGATTACGGTATAACTGGAGCTATCGCAGGAAGAGCTAGTGGTGCGGGAACTACCCCTTCTAGCATCGCCACTAGAAGTATTCATAACTGCTGAAGTCGACTGCACAATGGCAACGTTTTCTCGCTAATCCTGATGCTCTCGTATTCCACAAGGTACAGCAAGAAAAAAGATGTTTACTCACAGGATTTTAACAGCAGATGACAGCAAATCACTGATGTTACCCAAGACGCACACTTGGCACATTTAATTTGAACAAAAACTGCACTTTCGGAGTAACACACAACATCAATACAAAAAGTACCACCAGGCAGCGTTGCGTTACATATGGTATATTAGTATAGGGACATGTTCATCATATATCTATAATTTGAATATTTTTTAAAAAAGTATTCCAAAACTGATGTTTAAAAACCGAAACTTTATCCCCACTGACAATTTATAGACAGATGTACAAATGTATGAGAGACCGCTATATTTCTTACACAGTATCACTCACTACCATACATTTATCAACACCGACCAAAAAATTAAACAATCATTATCAATCATATCTCTACTTAGCGCCAAAATTTTATAAAATCATACCTAAACATTTCGGTACTTATTTCAAAAGAAATTTGAAAAAGTGGCTACATTCTATATCTAGGACTGAAATTCATAAACTAATAAATACGAACATCAAGTAAATACATAATCTACTGTAATTTTTTGCCCATTTTTTGTAATTTGTATTCTACACCTGCAACTTAAAATTATTGGTCCATGCAATGCAACATTAAGTGAATGAATATTATTATTTAAAATGGGAATTCGTGGCTCATCTTACTCATATTGTATAATGTTTCTCTAATTTGAGATACATTTTGCAAGAAAACGATCAAATCCATAACCTCAAAAACGCCTTTTCATTGGTCGAATTTGATCCATGGGCGTAAATTTTGATTTTCGCGGGACAAAACAGGAACACAAATACACATTCACAGATTTGTGAAACGTTTTCACAGTTTATACAATTATGTCAATTTTCAAAACAAATTGATAATTTGAATCATTTACCTTTCTTGATATGAATTTTTGACAAAAACAAGAAAATGATAGGTGTTCAGTGCCGAAAAACTGTAGCGTACCAACACCAGACATAGTAAACTAGCTCTTTTATCTCTCCTTCATTTCTTTATCATGTTGGTTCTGTGAGACTAAATATCTGATATATTATGTACACTGGTACTTATTTGTAGCTAAAACGTAAATGCTGATGTCCTTTACCTTTAAAAAAGTATCTCAATTGTTTTTAATTTCGTCGATCAAATTATGAGCATTTTTCATACTCCTAATAAGCGATATTTTTGTTGTGAGTACATATTTTCCAAACCTTCGGCCTTCGGCTAAACCTTTGGCACTTTTTTGTCCGAAAGCAGAATTTTGGCGAAAAGTTTATTTTTTGGGTGAGTCTTTCATAAGCTAAACCAACTTCTGGAAATGATTCAGTCCGATTCTGTTTGCTGAAGGAATACATAGCACGGGAAGCAAAAGCCGGGACGCCGCACTATACTGCTCTCAATGCGGCTTTTCCTCCGGATTCGTATCTCTTAAAGCTTAGAGGTTCGAACTGGCGGCACGGCAGAACCGATGCGACTCTGCGGCTCATTAGCGGATGTCACATTTACATATAATGGCCGGGACCCATATAGGGACCCCTTACGCCACTACGACGCGATGGCACGGCCTCACTATGCACAGCCTCCTCGTTGCTTCTTCTTGTATAGTTGCGCGACATGCCAAGTACCACTTCCACTTCACCCATTCAAGCTAATTAATACATTTAAATTAATGGTAATCTTGTATGCTTAAGTCACAAGAGAAACGGTTGCAGCCAAGTTTGAGCGGTGAACAGATAAAAGCTGCGTTGAACCGCTTTTAACATTGACGATTTGTTTCTGGAAATGAAAACATTTGTCTAAAAACTTACTTACAATTATAAGAGGATTAGTATCTTAACAAACCTATTTCATCAATCTGAGTTGTTGACTTCTGTGAGGGTAGTTGAAGATTGGGGTCGTCACATAAGTCTGACGATACTGCGACTCATATCGTCGTCCGTAACACGAAGTGGCGTATCTCATTTTTTCCAATTTTACAGGAGAGAGTTTTAAATATTTTCACGAGATTTGAGTTGTTGCTGACAAAAAGTTATTATTGCTACATAATTGAATTTGTGGATATGTGTGCTTACGTTTACAAGCTTTTCAAAAATGAGCAACGATTAACCCATTTTTCATTTTGTGTTCAAAATAAAAAAATAGATACGTCATTTTGTGAAATTGATGGATCGTAATTCATAGAGTGACTTAGTTACGTTATATTAAAGTGATAAAGAATACAACTTGAAAAAAATGTTTTTTACAAAACAAAATGGGAAATAGTGAATATTATGGCGAAATAAATATCCGCAGTATCTAAAACTATTTAGCTCCCTATAAAAGTAAATATGGCAGCAAATAATAATAGATAGATAGAATAATATCTGTTAAAGATGAACAAAATAATAATTAGTATTTCAGCTATTACTCATGAGGAAGATTTAAATAGAATCTTTGCTTTTCTTTGCTGTGCATTGGGGGCAATATCTGTAGAATAAGGTCTTTGACTTCTTATTCTTAAAAAGCTGTGTTCGTGTTGCAGGTCAAATACTGTTAACGTTTTATGTTTTTTAACCTAAATTTCCATAAAATCGGGCCAGTTTATACGCTCCCCTGTATCTGACGTTCTTATAGATACAATTCGCTACTCTTGGAACATTTTTTTAAAGTTTTGAATAACTGGAGGCAGTTGGGTAGGTATAAACATTTCACCTACTTTGGACAATGATGTAGAAACGGATCTGTGGGCAGAATCTCCTTCATTTTGGCCATGAAATGACTCCAAATAGTATAATGAAATATCTTCTATATTCGAAGTTTTAACCACAACATATAAAAGCTAAACTATCTGGGCACTCAGCGAAACATAAACTGATTGAATCGAAGCATAGGATGCAGGTCTTGACAAGTTAAAAACATAGATACGTTACAGTGCGTATAGTGATAAAATTAGAACTACTAACTTAGATATGCCATACGTTGTAAAGTGATTCGGATATTTTATAATTTCAGCAATTGGCGTAATTTTAGTTAAGCTCTCTCGCGAAATTTAATTTCCTATTATGAGATAAGTATAATATTATTTTTCTGTAACTCTGAAGGTATTAGAAACTGACTTAAGCCACTTCGTGATATTGAAGAGCAACCTTTTTTTTAAGTAATAAAATCGACTTAACTCAATTTTCGTATTTTCTGAGATACGCCACTTGGTATTATTGGCGACGATATGTAGCTCACCGCTGAATCTGGACTTAATCCCGCAACTAGATTCCGTTGGTTTGTGATTTTATATTTCTGAAACCTTAGTGTTGATAGGTCTTCAAAACAATCAAGGGTTACACCGGGGTTTCTCCACGTTCTTTGCTCTACTCAAGTCCATCGTTGTGTTTGTTGCGTGTTCATATCAATCTATCGAAAATGTCCACTTTCTTCTCCAAGAATGCTGTACAAATATTGAATGGACTACAACATGTAAACAATATTAATAAAAAACTACTTCAACGTTAATGTCCCGTTTCAGGGCAGCAAATCTCAAACCGGAGAAAAATATCAGAAAACATGAAAACAACTTGAAAATGGGACCTTCCTGTCTCTCCCACCTCCGAATCGCCTCCCCTAGTCGAGGACTTTTAGTATCCGGACACCTTAAGAAATAGATAGTTCTACCAATTTTAAAAGCTACACGATTTTTAGGCTAGTTTCATTAAACCATACAATATAGACATGACATCACTGGTGATCGGAAGACGGATGCCCTAGAATTATAGATAATGTTTTCTTCCTTTTTCCGATACCATGCTTCTGCTGTTTTTAAACCACAGAAGCTACAATAATGCACAAATTTGAATTCAACATATTTTTTGCAAAAACATTTTTAAGATCGAAAAAGGACCGACAACGGCAAGCACTTTACTTTAATATGCCCAAAATGTCTTACTTTTATCTTGAAAACCAAATGAGTTATGCGTGAACGACATCTACAACTACTTACATCCTATGAGGGTACTGAGGAACCTAAAGGAACCCGGTTTTTATATAAGCAAGTCACTTTTACATGAGCAATTTGTGTTTGCTTATAAAACCATCACCAATATTTTCCTCACAAGGCAAACACCATGGTTTCCTTTAGATGTCCAGGTAATATTTCTCGCATTTTAGTTCCATAAAGGATGCAGTTGCATCGTTTGTAGAGGAAGACTTCATAATAATCAACCGGTGTGTGCGACAACCGTTCTGGCTGAGGTTTTGGAGTAAATCTGTCGTTTTTGGAGAGACGGATGAGGGTGACGCGTCTGGCACATTGAAAGATTGAAACCCAGTAGATAACGTCATGCTAGATGACTTTGTCTGGTTTCTGGGCAACCAGGACTGACAGATTCGACTAACGTACATCAGACAGTGACAAATGGGCAAACGTCCTACGGACCGCCCAGACAAACAAATGACGAATAGTAGTTGTCATGCTAGCTTATCGATTTGGGAGTGAGAGTGACTATCCCGGGTGGAACAGCAGGGTTATTACGTAAAATCCTATATAATGTCAAAGAACTGTCAAAATGTCAACTTGACAAATCAGAAATAAATTATTACTGAATATGCTACGCTTGTAGTATATCTATTAGCTGTCCCGCCATTGAGTGCAATGGAAGCTCTGTTGGAACTCCCACCGTTGGATCTGGTGATCCGCGGTGAAGCGAGAGTAGTTGCTTATCGACTGTGGAGTCAGGGCAGCTGGGCTTTCTTGAATCCTGTCAAGGGGCATACTGCCACCTTAGTCGAATTGCAAAGGGAGGACCCCGTCCTTCTAAGCAGGGGTGATCGTATTACCCCTAAATATCGCTTCAACCGCAAGTTTATTGTGGAGTATCCAATGAGGGAGGAGTGGGACGCCGGTAGCCGGAGAGTCTCCGGAGTGAGCTGGCAGGACTGGTACACGGATGGCTCGGTCACCGAGGAGCGCTCAGGTGCTGGGGTCTCTGGGCCTAGGACTAGGCTATCTCTGCCTCTCGGTGGATACACCACTATTTTCCAGGCGGAAATCTTTGCGATTCTGGCTTGTGTATCTCACATTCTGGATGAGGCCTAGGAGAAGAATAACAATCTTATCCGACAGCCAGGCTGCAATGAAAGCACTAAGTGCCTGTAAGATTACTTCGAGTCTTGTATTGCAATGCAGGGAGGCTCTGGATTGCCTCGCAGCGAGGCATCCGGTATCGTTAATGTGGGTACCAGGGCACGCGGGGATAAGGGGCAATGAGACGGCGGACACTCTGGCGAAGACAGGATCAGCCAGCAAGCTCGTTGGTCCTGAGCCAGCTCTAGGAGTGACCGCGCATAGAGCTAGGAGGAAAATGGAGACTTCGGTTGCAAGACAACTCTCTCAGAAATGGAGAAGGATCTCCACACGTTTCCGCCAGGTACGGGAACTCGCTGATGGGCACAGTGCTAAGGATGGACGTTTTTTGCTTATCTCTGGATAGAGCCAACCTAAGGTTGCTAGTGGGACTGTTGTCTGGCCATAACATGTTAAGGCGCTACCTGCACGTGATGGGGGTGGTTGAGGATCCCTCGTGTGAACGCTGCGGGGTAGGGGAAGAGACCTCGGCGCACGTTTTGTGTCACTGTAAAGCTCTGAGTTACTGTAGGCAGACTATACTGGGGTCCATTACTTTGCACCCTCAGGACGTCAAGGAGCTTGGACTCAAGGCGATTCTCAACTTTGCTAAAAGGGCGAGGCTTGTGATCTAAGGAATGTAGAGGTGCATAAGGGCCCGCTTAAGCGGCCTATGCACTGGCTCCTTATCGTGGCCCGGAAAGCCTCTAATTTCAAGATTCATTCATTGTACCAGCCGGGTTTTCTGTTTTGTCCTTTCTGAATAGAGGTTATGTTCAAAGGTATAAATTACGATTTTAACCAGTTTAATTGCTACGTAATTAAGCCACATCCCAGAAAAATTAGGAATGGCGTATCAGATGCAAAACATTTTCGCAGTGCCTCACAACTAGGCGCTGATTTGTAATAAAATAATAAAAGTATTCCTATCTGCAGCATATTGTATCACATTAATTAATTGTTACATACTTCACCGACCAGGGATTTTTGTTTCTTATCTCTCCAATTTTTGAAATTCAGCAAATTTGTAAAAGTGTTTTCCAAGATCAATAAGAATAAGTAGATACACAACTAATTTCTAGCTTTGTATACAACTCAAGTAAGTTAATTTTAGACAGGAACCCAATGGAGTTATCACAACAGCACTATGCACTATGCACTGCCGTGTCTTTCCATCTATAGTATACAACTTACAGCGTACACCTTCAGTAATAACATCTTTGGGGCAGATCACATCAGAGCCAAAGAGTGATAGCTGAAGCATCATGACAATTAGGCAACACGTACAGCTACAAAACGAGTGCACATAAAGTGATCAGCAACTAGTTCTTGTAGAAATAATGTACAAAACATGTATAATGTCAAAAAACCGACATAATCCCCCTGCCGGACTTTGCTGGGTTTGCGGGCTGCTATCTTAAAACAGCAAAAATGTCTTCTTGCAATCTGAGCATATTACAGGACCGTTCAGACTGTACTGTATAGGAATATGAGAATGAAAGGAAAACACAATTAGAGTGTCACCTGGAAGACAGATCAGATGGAAAATAC